ATAAACCAAAGCTCATCTATTTTCTTTTATTATTAAAGAAAGAAAAATTGTTGAATGGATATAGTGTTGCTTATGCCACAGGGTCTCAGAGTCTGCCACGGTGCTAGTCACGCCTGGGCCTCACGTTCACGCCCTGACCAGCTGCCAGGGCTGCAGCTCCATCATGCTAAGTGCTCTGCAGAGGTGTGTGCCAATTTTCTTTTCTTTTTTTTTTTATCAAACATAAGCTACACCTGTCCTGTGTTTAGGAATGTTTGGATATACAAATATCTTTGGGTCGCATTTGCCTACTGTATTCAGTTCAGAGCGTACTGCTCAGGCTTGCTGCCGCGGAGCTGAAGGCTGTTCCATACAGCACAGGTGTGTGGCAGGCTGCACCCTCTGGTCAGCATAAGTCCACCCTATGGTGTTCACACAATGGCAAAATAGCCTAACACACTTCTTAGAGCAGTTCCCTATACTAAGCAATGCATGCCTGAATCTACATATAGCAATAGATGTGGCTCTAGATGTCTATCTCTATTGTATCTATTAGACAGATAGTGTGTTAGTCAGATCTGAACTGCTGAGAACAAAATACCGGATGAGAACAAATTAGAAAGCCAGCCTCAGCAAAAGCGAGGTGCTAAGCAACTCAGTGAGACCCCAGCTCTAAATAAAATGCAAAATAGGACTGGAGATGTGGCTCAGTGGTCGAGTGCCCCTGAGTTCAATCCTGCGTACCTCTACTCAAAAGAAAAGAACAAATCAGAGGAGGAAAGTTCATTTGGGCTCAAATGTTTCAGAGGTTCAGTCCACGGTAGACTGTCTCCATTGCCCTGGGCCCAAGGTGAGGCAGAACATCATGGCAGAAGGGTCTGGTGGAGGTCACTGCTCAGCTCACGGAAGGCACAAAGCAGAGAGAGAGTGGGACGTGTCAAGGACAAAGTATGTAATTCCCAAGGCACACCCCCAGTGACCCACTTCCTCCAGCCACGCTCCGCTGCCTATAGGTACTATCTAGTAACCCACTCAAATTATTAATCCACCAAATGGATTAGTCCATGGATTAGGTTACAGCTCTCACAATCTCGTCATTTCACCTCCCGTGTAGATACAGGAGCTTTGAGGTGACACCTCATGTCTAAACCATAACAGATAGTCAGCTAGATAGTGTAAGTTTATTTTAAGGAATTAGTTCATGTGATTGTGGAGACTGGCAAGTCCCAAATCAGCAGGGCAGGCAGGCTGGACACCCAGGCAAGGAGGGACACTACGGGTGAGTCTGGGGGCAAACCAGCAAGTTCCCTCTTCGGAAGTCAGTCTTTTTCTGTTCCATCCTTCAACTGATTGGATAAGGCCAACCTGCAATATGGAGGAAGGCATTCACTTTATTCAAAGTCTACTGATTTGAATGTTAATCTTACCTTTGAAAAAAATGCCTTCATAGACATCTAGAAGAACATCTGACCAAACATCTGGGTACTGTGGCCGGGCAAGTCGACACAGTCACCTGCATAGCCCTTTGCTGCTGGTGGCGGAGTGAGCACTGGGAGCCACCTGTCAATGTGGCTCAGGCTGGAGGGGAGCGGGAAGCCCTGGGCACCCCAGAGCCCTCTATGAACACAAGAGGAGAAGGGAAGCATGAAGTTTACCACCTAGATATGTTGTCCACTCACATGTGGAGCGACCTCTGCCTCCTTGCTCTCCCCTCAGTCCTGTCCCTACAGATGGGACTTTATGGTCCCTCTCCTGGCTTGAGCCCTTCTCATACCCTGAATCCTATTCTGCTTTTTGTCCATGGTAGAAGGACCCTGGGGCAAGTAGCTTGACGGTGTCCCCGTAGTACCCCTCTCCTAGCCTTTGTTGGCCTGTGCTGGGCTCAAGGGCAGTCTAGAGCCTGTTCCAGGACCTGCCCACGGGAGGCTTCACATGCAGAATCTGGGAAAGCTTGGTGCCCTCCAGGAGGCTCCCCTTCAACTCAGCCCTGACAGTTCTTCCCAGAGCTTCCAGAGCTGGCCAAGTGCCCCTGACCAGGGGCCTGCCAGACCACCCTGGTGCCAGGCACTGACCTGACTTTCCAGAAAATGTCCAAGCCTTCCTCCCGTGCCAGGGACCGACCAGGGCTAGTGGTGCCATTGGGTGGGCTGCCCTAGCCTGGCGATGGGCCCACATGTGTCCTGGCCTCACTTATCTCCCTCCGCGGCTTTCAAACCTCTGCCCTACATGTGGGGTTGACTAGATGTCCAAGGAGCACAGAGTCTCACACCCATGAAATCATTCTGGGGCCTACAGCTGGATGTAGCTCCCAGGAACTGCTGAGCAACCCCAAGCACGGAGGGCAGCAGAAAAGGTAGCAGGGGTTCTTTACCCTCTTCACCCTGCCAACAGCATGCAGGCTGCCACTCTACTGCTCTGGAGGCCCCTGTCCAGGTGTTAGTCATCTCCTCCAGTAGTTTTTGGAAACACTGCTGCACAACCCCTGCAGGCTCTCCCAATCAGCATCACCTCCCACCTCCCATCCACCCCAGCTGCAGGTAAACATTTCTGGAGAATGGGGCTGCTGTCATCATAGAAATACAGGAATGTGGCAGTTGTGACATTCATGCTCCCCTGACTTTTAAGGCCCAGTCTGTCTGTGCTCCTCTATGTTGATGCTATAAAATTCAGAACTGATAAATTCAACACCATAAGAAAATGAGCTACGACTTACATTTCCTCACCCACTCTGGGTAAGACATGAACTGGGGTCATTGACGAAGGAAAGGAATGACCTGAGAGGGGACTACCGGAAGTGGTATTCGTGGGTGGCCCAACACAAGGAGTGGTGATACGAGTAATGACGTGACCAGCAGAGAGTCCATGGTGCTGGGGAAGCACAGAGACCAGAAGAGCTCTGTGGGCTCCGTGTGAACAGGCTCTGCAGAGCCACACAGTGCTGCAGATTGCAGAGCTGCTGCCCTGAGCCCCCGCCAGGCGCGAAACCAGAGGAGGGTGCTCTGGACAATCAAACCCAGAGGAGCGGACTTCTGGATCCAAATGGGAACAGAAAGCAGGGACATCAAGAAGGCCCTCCTTGTGCACCAGCTGGATATCAAGTACAGGCATGATTAGCTCCTCTCTGGCCATTCATCTAAATCTTGATTGACAAATATTTATGGTTCCAGAAATTTTAGAACACTTTCTCATCAAATTCTTTATATAGACACGAACGCTGCAAAAACTATTTCCCGAGGCTCCGCCCACCTTAAGGGCCACTCTGGTCTAGATGCTGGGGTTGTCTGAACTGGGGGCTGAAGGTAGGGGGGTGAGGAAGTTGACCATGTTAGACGGCTCAGGCAATTGGGTGGGAAAGGAAGTGAAGAGGGACGGACCTTAAAAATTAGGAAAGTGTGAATGTCACCTGTGTGTCGTGTGTGTCACGCCTGCATCTGGTGAGCTTGCTGAGTTGAAAGGCAAAGAGAGTGGGATGAAAGTGTGAGGGGCAGGGCAGGAAGCTGGGCGTGGAGGGAAGGCATCTACGGGTGGCACTGCCTTGGGAGGGGGATCTCTAGAGGTGAGCCGGGCAAGGCACACAGGGGCCAAGGCTGCAGGTGGAGCCTCCCGCTGGACCCCGGAGGTTGTGGGAGTCATTGGGGAAGTGAGGGGACGTGTGCAAGGACACACGAGGGGCACTTGGAATAAGCAGGAATTTCCTACGAGAGCGATGAGGTGTTGGGTAGAAATGCCGTAGGGGAGCAGAGGGCCTCCCCGGGGCCGCTGCAGAGCCAGAGGCCGCAGGGCCAAGTTGGTGAGGGAAGGCCAGAGTCGAGGCCAGCTCTGACCTCTCCCATGTCCCTGTGCCTGGCCCAGGGCCTGGCCAGAGTACTTTTCTGGCTCTCAGACTCGTCTGTTGTGAGTGGGCTGTAGGTGGGAGACTCGGGCTCCTAGTCGGGAGCAACCACAGCGCAGCCCGCTGCAGGCCCTGGCTCGGGAGCTCCTTTCAGAGCTGAGCCCTCAAGTCAGAGAAGAGGAAAACGAGGCCGAGAGTGACAAGAAGCTCCACCAGCCTCTTCCAGCTTGAATATTGGGGGCTGCCAGGCTCAGGCCCCTGGAGGGGGTCTGGGGTGGGAGTGAGGCCACCGTTTGTGTAATAGGTCAGCATGTGCCCCTGCACCCTTGGTTAGCCTGACCCAAGGACTGAAGGCACTCAGCTCTGGGCCCAGGGAAAGTGTCCACCTCAGAGCCCTCAGAAACCTGCTGGTACTGAATGGTGACCCACAGAGGCAGCTCCCCTGTGGCTATGCCCACTGCGAAGTATGAGCCATCTGATGGTCCACCCTGGACTCGACTGTGATGCCAGAGTCAGAAGGAGTATCGTCCCTGGCCCAGTGGCCAGCTAGCCCCATGAGAAGCCCAGAGGGGAAGCCTTGCCTGCACTGGACCTGTGCACAGTCCATGCCCTGAGCCCTCCAGGCTCCCTGTGGGTCTTCACGCCAGGTGCAGTCACCAGGGCAGCACAGCCCATGGAGAATGGGTCACCTCCAGGGACCGAGGGCAACAGAGTCACAGGACTATCCCTGGGCCCTCAGAGTCCTCGGCACTGGGAGCCAACATTCTCCCAACACCCAGGTGTAGGTGTCCCGATGCTTGTGAGTCTCCCGTGGGCAGGGACCAGGTTTGACTCTATGTCTCCATTTTGCTCGTTTTAGGGACAGGCCTCAGTCCAAGTCCAGAAACTCTGCCCTTTGGGTATGTTGGAGGGTGGGCAGGGAGGTGAAAAGCCCAAGGGTAACCGGGAGGTTCAGGGGTCTGACCAGGGCACGACCATCCCACGTGGGCAGCAGCACAGGCCTCGGTATGGCTGCTGCGTTGGCCCGTCCACAGCCACTAGGCCACACTCCTTTAGAAGCAGCCAGGGATGCACTGAGCTGAAGGAACTGCTACTTCCCCCACGCAGGACTGTCGCTAATTCTGGGTGTGTCTAGAAGCTGAGTCTCATGACAGGGAAAGACCAGGGCCAGAGAGGGAGAAGGAGGAGCTGCAGACGGTGGCTGGACGGGTGTGAAGGTGGACGCCGGGGGCCTCTCTCTCTCTCTGTCGGTTTCTGTAATGAGGAAGTTCTCTGCAGCTCAGTTTCCTTTCCCTCACTGAGTGCTTGAAACAGGAAGTTAGTCAGTTAAGCGGGTGGCAGCAACAGAGGCGACTGAGAGGGGACGGTGGCAGGTCTGAGCACAGGGCCCTCGGTCGCCCTCGGTGGTGTGTCGGTCCTGGGGGTGGAGGCCCACACCCGCCATGGTCCCCACCTGGAACCACGGCAACATCACCCGCTCCAAGGCGGAGGAGCTGCTCTCCAGGGCGGGCAAGGACGGGAGCTTCCTCGTGCGTGCCAGCGAGTCCATCCCCCGGGCCTTCGCACTCTGCGTGCTGTGAGTATGCCACCCTCTTCCCGGGTCCTTGGCGGGCACAGAGACCCGAGGGGTGGCTTTGGAAGCCGAAGCTAGCCAGGGGCTGGCCCTGGATGGGTGGTTCTCCCATCGCAGGACAGAGTGGCCTGCCTGGCACGCTGCCGGCCAGTTTGTGGGGTGGTCCGGCTGAGGCCCACCTGGGCTTGGCCTTGGAGTTCAGGGGGCCCGTCCTGCGGCAAGGTTGGCAGTGCCGGAACTCTCAGAGCCACGCTGCGCCGGGTCCCACGACTCAGCTGCCCATGAACTGTGGTGCTGGGGACGTCCTGGGCTCCAGAGGCAGGAGAAGGGGGTCTGGGTTCTTGGAGCCAAGAACTCGGGGCTCCGTGGTGGTGGGTGTTAGGCAGCGGCTCACCAGCTAGGTGTGGGTCCAAGATGCCCAGCTCAGAAGCCCTCCTGCACCCAAGCAGTGGGTCTGAAGGGAGCTGCCACCTGGGGAGCCGAGAGCCTGGGTGGGTTTCAGTTCACCCAGCAGTGAGTGACGTTCTGTCCCCAAGGAAGAGGAGGTCACCCTCATCCCGGCACGTCGCTCCTCTCACGTGAACCCTCTCTTCTTCCCTGGCACTCAGCTGTGTCCCCACCCATTTGGTCAGCACCCCCAGCAGCTCACCGCCCCCCACCCTTCCCCCCGTCTGGCTTGTGCTGTGGCCGAAAGTGCCAGTTGTCCTGACAGGAGAGCAACCACTTGCTGGAAGTTCCTTTTTAACCACCCCTTCTTGCCCGAGGTCCACGGGAGGCCTCGCCCCTGCAGCGCTGTGGTCTAACCCCCTCTTGGGCGGCCGGCAGTGCCAGGGTGCAGTCAGGAAGGGTGTGTCCACCCAGACACTTCAGGTAGCATCCGTGGGCCAGCAGGAAGGCCCCCTCAAGCAGCTAGAGCCTGCCTGCCTCCAGGCAGGGGGAAGTGGGTGACTGACCACAGCCCTGTTCTGAGCCCTGCTCACACGGGGACCTGCTGTGCTCAGCGTTTACTGGCTGGTGTCATCCTCAAGACGACTCAAGTGCAGGCCCTCCGCCCTGCAGATGGGGCAACTGAGGCCCGGGCAGGTTAAGTGAGAGGTGACAGTCACCCAAGATCATCTACGCCCAGAGACTGCAGCTAGACCACCAGACTGTGCTGCCACCCTTCCCGCCCCCAGCTGGACACGAGACCAGCCCAGGCTCACAGCCACCCTGCCCTGTGGAGTCGGCCGTCAGCAGCTGCCCCTCTGAAGGCTGACTGCCCGCCCCCCACCCCACACTTCAGAAGGTTGCAGCAGCCAGGACCTCCAGATGGCACTGCCCTATAGGGACTCACCCATGAAGGGGCCTTAGGAATGACTGAGCTTGTCCTGACTCCGTGGGCCCATGTGACACCAGTGGGCCCTTGGCTAAAAGTGACTGTTGGGTGTTGGCTATGTCCCCAGCCTCCAGGCCATCTCATTATGCTTCACATTAGTCCTGTGACCCCCCCCAGGAGTATGCTCAGGTTGCAGGGGGGGACCTCAGTCTCTCTGACTCTAAGCCATGGCATCTTCAAGTCTAGGTGGCAGCAAGTGGACCCAGAGGCCGAGAGGCCTCCAAGAACCTCTAGGCCGGGGGCCCCTGACTCGAAGGGGACAGACTGCTCAGAGAGGTTGGGCCAGAGGTTGGCCGTGCTGGCAGCGAGGAGCCAGGCCTAGGTCCTGGGGTGCTACCTACCTCCGCTTCTCCTCCCTCAGAGTCAAGGCCCTGAGCAGAGGCACCTTAGGGTTGCCCCTGGTGCCACCTAACGATGCCACCACCTGTTAACCCCAGCCTGGACAGCTCCTCAGTCTCCCGGGCCCTCATCCCAAGCCCAGGGCTCCCTCTCTGCGCTGCTCTGTCAGGGAAGCCACTGTGGGCTGTGGGTAGACATAGGCCAGCAAGCCTTCCAACCCTGAGAACCCTGCAGACTCTCGCCCTTGATTTTGCCAATGAAGGCAACTTGAAAGTCGGGCACAGTGGCACATGCCTGTAATCCCAGTGGTTTGGGAGGCTGAGACAGGAGGATCACCTCAGCCACTCATCCAGGCACTAAGGACTTCACAAGACTCTGTCTCAAAATAAAACATAAAAGGGGTGGGGGGCTGGGAGTGATATTGTCAAATTATATGGTTATATTGGTGCATGTGTGAATCTGTGACGACAAATTCCATCAAGTATGTGCGACTATAAAGCCACCAGTTAAAAATTGTGCAGGAAAAAGGAGGAGGTGCTGGGGATGTGGCTCAGTGGTTAAGCAGCCCTGAGTTCAATCCCTAGGGCCAAAAATAAAGAATAAATAAACAGACTTGAAAACCAAAACTAAATAAATAAGTAAATGACAACTGTCATCTTCCACCACCTCAGTCTATGACATGAAGCAACTTGAAACATCAAAAAGGCAGGAAGGACATACTCTTTTAATTTTTTTTCTTTTTTTAAATTTTAAGCCAGTCCTTTTAAAGCAGAGACTTAACTTCCTGAAAAACAAACTACATCCTTACTTTTCCCTGTTCCCTGGGGACTGGTGGAAGCCTGGCCCCTCACTATCCTGGTCCCTAACCAGTGACAGGGACCTCCACTGAGGCCCAGGCAGGAGCCACAGGGCAGAGATGGGGTACAGGGCAGCTGGGCTTTCCTTGGTTCCAGAAGTAATGGTCTGTGCACCCAGCTGTCGTCCTGGCTTCCAGCCAGGCTGTGGGGACCAGGTCATGGTCAGGGCCCTCTAACAACCCTACTTTCAAAGTGAACCACAGCCAAGCACAGTGGCACACGCCTGTAATCCCAGTGCTCAGGAGACGGAGGCAGGAGGATCCCATGTTCGAGGCCAGCCTCACAACTTATTGGGACACTGTATTGAGATTTAAATTTTTTTTTAAAAAGTGAGCCAGAACTGCAGAAGGGAGCCACAGATACTCACTTTTTTGCTCTGGAAATGTCTACGTCGAGAAGGACCACATGTCCCACCACCAGGGCACCCAGGCCTCTTCCTGCCTGGGCCCCAGCAAGCTTCTCCCTGGTCCCCTTTGGTGAGAGAGAGGACAGTTGTAGGACCTCCACCTGCTGGGTTCCGTGTGTTTGGGCTCCAGGCCCAAGGGCAGCCTTGCTGGAAGAGAGGGTGGGATGCTTAGGAGAGGGTGGGATTTGACCAAGATGGAACTCAGGGATGCGGGGAGACACTGAAAGACAAGATGGCAATTCAGTGCCACGCCCGTGGCTTAGGAGCGCACATTCACCTGGTGCCTTTTATTTCCTTAGAGGGGTCAGCCCTGTCACCTACCCAGGAGGAAAAACTTTGGCCTCCCCTCTGCTGCTCAGAAAGTCTAGCCTCTGCGTGGCTCCTTGGGTCGCAGAGGACTGGCACGGGGACACCTGGCAGAGGTCCAACCCTGCAGTCTTGTGAAAGGGGCTTGGAGCGTGAGGGGTGGCAGGCTCTTCTGGTGGGGCCGGTGTCGCCCTCACTGGTCCCACCCACGGTCAGCCCTACTCCAGGGAGTCTGGGAGCCCTGGAGAGGAGGGGCCATAGCCCATCGTGGACGGAGGACGTTCAGAGGCCATCCCTTTTGTGAGCTTCTTTACGATGTCGGGGCCAGCACACCTGTCAAGCACCTTCAGGGATGGGGCTCCACCCGTGCAGGGCCCATGGGCAGCAGGGTGACCTTCTCTTGCCCAGGCTGCTCAGGTGGAGCTGGAACAGTGGCCCAGTATTGTCACAGTGCAATCTACCCTCCCTGAAAAAGCAACCAGGGCCCAGAGTGAGCCCACGTTCAACCAGGTCAGCTGGCTACTGTCCATGTGGAGCTGCCCATTTGGGCGGTACGAAGAACCACTCAGGAAAGAGTCGTCCTCCCTCTCGGGGAAGGAAAGCCACGTGGCTGGCTTTGGCTCTGAATCCAGTGCCTGCTCCAGCCAGCTGAGGCGGGGAAGCCCTGGGGTTTCCCTCAGCACATGGCCTTCCACAGGCCACTCAGGCATGACAACAGGGTGAGCTTCCTCCTGGGGACAAACTACCAGAGAGCCTTGGACTTGGTGGCTTTGTCAGCACAGCAGGAAAGACAAAAAAGCACAGAAGGACCTTCATCGCCAGAATGCTGTTTGGGGAAGCGTTCTCCTTGTTTGGAATAGTGTGGAAAGGCCCCGGAGCCAGCAGACCCCAAACCTGCCCTGCTAACGCGTGGCGAGGCCCGCTCTGTGTGCCACAGAAGACTGATGGGGCTTACCTTGTGCCAGGGACCGTGGCAGGCTCTTCCCGTGCACTAGCTCATTTAACACCCTCAGGGCCTTCAGAGGAAGCAGTGCAATGCCCACCCGAGAGATGGGAAAGCGCTGCACCGAGAGGTCCTGGGACGAGGTGGGTGACAGGACTCATAAATGGCAGGGCCAGGACTTGCATCCCGCTGTTCTGGGGAGAAAGACAGAGGAGCCTGGCAGTGGAGAGACCGGTGGGGCCAGGGGAGAGAGACAGCCTGGAGAACCATAGAGTGGGGACTTGAGGGGACAGAAGTGTCCAGCAGAGGTGCTGAGCCATGACCCGTGGTGTGAGGGGTGTGCGGCTATCTCCCTTCCTCCAGCCTCCTCCAAGCCTTTCATAAAATTGACATGGCTCATTAATTACTTTTGTGCAGATGCAACAAGGCGCTGTTCCGCGTGGGGTATGTGCAGCAAGTGGGAAGAAAGGCTGGCACAGAAGGAACCGGGGCTGGAGACCCTGGGGCTCCTGAAATCTGTTTACATAAGAAAACAGGCCAAAAGGCTTTGTCTGCAAATGGCTCTTCTGAGTTTTATTTCTGTGTGCCTGACCAGGAGGGAGCTATATGCCAATGAAGGCCTATGTACTCCACTCAATTGAATCATCCCTGTGAAGTGACTCAGAACAACCCTGTTATGATCGAGTGGCTCCAGGTGCTCTGTGCCCATGCCCAGCAGCACCCCAGAGCAATTCTTCTAGGTGGGAGTAGGCGCTGGCGTGTTTTACACATTTGCCT